TTTTTGGAGAGGCTGGTTTTTTATTTCAAAAAGACACTTGTCAATATTCAGTATCAAAACAGTTTCACTATTGATTTCTCTTTCTCCCAATCAGCCTTAAGGGACCACATAAAAGGAGAGTACATTTTATGCCAATAAGCTGTAGGATGTACACCTAACAGACCTCCTAGAAACCTTACCAGAAAATGAGGATTGAGTAAGGAAACTTTAAAAGATCAGCAAACTGCCAGCCCACAGACTGCAGAGGCTGTCACAGCCAGATGGGGTGGCCGGGGTGCCACAAACCCAAAGAAGCAAAGTTTCAAAATAATATAAAATTTAAAAAGTTTCGTACATAAGCTATTCAGGATTTCTCAGCACTGACTGCCACAAAGCACAATGAGATGGTTAAAGACAGCAGCTTCAAACCCAGAAAAATGTAAAGAGATGAGTTTCGTATGGCTAAATCCGTGGCAAAAACATAATCTTTCTTTCAAAGAGGCAGGAAAGCAATTAAGTGGTCACCTCAACATAAGGGGCACATGATCCATTCTGTAAGCAGTTGGGAGGGGTTAGAGATGGGACAAAAATTTGGTCTCAGAGGACTTACCATCTTAATTCTGTCACTTCTAATGAAAAAAAAAAAAAATAGAAATGTTGTCCAAAGATATCTTAAAGCTGAAAATTTGAACACCACATTTTTTGGGGTTTTGTTGTTGTTTGGCTAACTCTTCCTGGAATCACCTTTCTGGTTTAGCTGGTGCTTTTGTACAGAGCAATGAGGTTTCCCATAGTAGAGTCTTTCCCTGAGCTCTGTTTGGCTCTCAGTTAGACAGGCCTGTACGTTTTCCTCTCCTCTATGGAGAGGGTAATATGCATTAAGCTGAAAAGTCACCTTCCAAAAGTGAGAAAGGCATTAGATTGCTGCTTCAAGGCTGTAGAATTATTTGGAATGTTTTACAAATGGTTGCTACAAAACAACAAAAAAGGACATTACAAAATGTGTACATCACAACATGCTTTTAAAAGACATTATGCATTGTGCTCACATTCCCTTAAATGTTGTTTCCAAGGGTGCCCAACCTCTAACCCAGCTGGAATCTCCAGGAAGAGGCAGAGACAGTTTGGTGAAAAAGATCCAGGGAGAGGGGCGGCAAAAGGAGAATGCGGCCTTCCAGTTAAAGAGCAGCCCTCAGTTGAAGGTCAGCCTCACGCAGGCTGGCCTCAGGTGAAGTCAGGGTCAGAGGGAGGAGCAGCAGCAGGGTGGGACTGGAGCATTCTACATCTCATTCAGATCAATCAGAGTCTGGTCCAGCATCCTTTGTGTACAGAGGTGCTCCTCTTTGGTGCATTTCAGTTTTATCTTCCAAGTCATCATCTTTTCCAGCTTGGCTACCAATCTCTCAACAAACTCAGCACGGGTTTCTGCCTCCTTGAGTTTATCAGTAAGAATCTTGATCTCTTCCTCATATTTGTCTTCTTTTTGAGAGTACTTTTCTTCAGGAGCGCTGAGCCACTTCAGGTTATGGTCCATCAGTCTGATCTGCTCATCTCTTGGCATCGGGGCTCTGCCAGCTCAGCTTGTTCCTCTGTACGTTCCAAGTCTCCTTCAGTCATCACCAACTTCCAAGCCACCCCTTCATACTTCTGATCTGCTGCCTCTTCTGCAATGTGCTTAGCTTCTTTGAGTTGGATTTCCTGGAGTTCCATCTTTTCTTCATCTTTTAAGTCCTGGTTTTCGATAACCTTCATACCTTTCTCACTCTTATCAGCAGCTTTTTCCGCTTCTTCCAGCTTTTGCAGGGCAGTGGCCAGGCGCTCCTAAGCACAATCCAGCCCCTCTTCAACCAGCTGGATTCTACGGTTCAAGGAGGCCACCTCAGTCTCAGCCTGTTCCCGGACCTGCCTTTCTCCCTCAACTTCTGACTGGAGGCGCTCAGCTCACTCCTCTGCATCATCTGTCTGCTGCTCCAGCACCTGGATCTTGCGCTTCACTGCCTCGATGGTGGTGATCCCAGCCGTGGTGCCCACCCAGCTACTGCTCGCGCTCGGGCTCCTGCCTCCTCTGCTCAGCTTTGCAGCCTCCTCTCACCTATACCGCATCTTCTATATCCATTCATCTGTTGGTGGATAATTGGGTTGTTCCAAATCTTGACTATTGTGAATAGTGCTGCAACAAATATGGGAGAGCAGAAATTTCTTCAATATACTCATTTCCTTTGAGTAGATACCTAGCAGTGGGATTGTTGGATTATATGGTAGCTCTATTTTTAGTTTTTTGAGGAAACTCCAAACTGTTCCCCATAGGTTGTCCTAATTTACATTCCCACCAACAGTGAACAAGAGTTTCCTTTTCTCCACATCCTCACCAACATTTGTCATTGCCTGTCTTTTGGATAAAAGCCATTTTAACTGGGATGAAATGGTATCTCGTTGTAGTTTTAATTTTCATTTCTCTGATGATCAGTGGTGTTAAGTCCCTTTTCATATGCTTATTTGCCATGTGTATGTCTTTTTTTAAGAAATGACTCTTCAAACCTTTTGCCTATTTTTTGATCATATTACTAGATTTTTTTTTCCTATAAAGTTATATGAATTCCTTATATATTCTGGTTGTTAATCCCTTATCAGATGGATGGTTTGCAAATATTTTCTCCCTTTCTGTGGGTTGTGTCTTCACCTTGCTGATTGTTTCCTTTGTTGTGCAGTAGCTTTTTATTTTGATGTGATCTCATTTGTCCATTTTTGCTGAAGTTGCTTGTGCTTGTGAGGTATAACTCAAGAAATATTTGCCCAGATCAATGCCCTAGAGATTTCCCCAGTATTTTCTTATATTAGTTTCATAGTTTGAGGACTTACGTAGATTTAAGTCTTTTAGCCATTTTGATTTGTTTTTTGTATATGGTGAGAGGAAGGGATCTAGTTTCATTCTTCTGCATATGGAGATCCAGTTTTCCCAGCACCATTTATTGAAAAGATTGTCTTTTCCCAGTGTATGTTCTTGTCAACTTTGTGAAAACGAGCTCACTCTAGGTGTGTGAATTCATTTTGGGGTTCTCTATTCTGTTCCATTGGTCTATGTGTCTATTTTTAGACCAGTACCATGCTGTTTTGATTAATTACTAATCCTGTAGTATAATTTGAAGTTAGGTATACAGTTTTATTCTTTTTGTTCAGGATAGCTTTACCTTTTCTGGGTCTTTTGTGGTTCCATATAAATTTTAGAATTTTTTTTTCCATTTCTGTGAAGAATGTCATTGGTATTTTGATAGAGATTGTATTGAATCTGTAGATTGGGTAGTATGGACATTTTAACAATATTGGTTCTTCCAATCCATGAAAATGGAGTATCTTTTTTTTTTTTTTTTGNTTTTTTTTTTTTTTTTTTTTGGTGTTCTCTTTAATTTCTTTCATCAATGCTTTATTATTTTAATTATAGAGATTTTTCAGCTCTTTGGTTAATTCCTGGTAATTAATTTTCTTTGAGGCTATTATAAATGGTATTACTTTTATTACTCTCTTTTTCAGATTGTTCACTGCTCCATATAGAAATGCTACTGATTTTGATATGTTGATTTTGTGTCCTGCAACTTTACTGAATTTATCAATTCTAATAGGTTTTTTAGGAGTCTAGGTTTTCAAATATAAGATAATATTATCTGCAAATAAGGATAATTTGACTTCTACTTTTCTAATTTGGATGCCTTTGATTTTGTTCTCTTTTCTGATCATTTTAGCTAGGACTTGCAGAACTATGTTGGCCTGCAATGAAAGTGGACATTCTTGTCATGTTCTAAATCTTAAGGAAAGGCTTTCAGTTTTCTCCCATTCAATGTGATACTTCCTGTGGCTCAGTAATATATAGCTTTTATTTTGTTGAGCTATGTTCTTTCTATCCCCAGTTTTTGTAGGGTTTTTACCATGAAGGGATGTTGAATTTTATTCAGTGCTTTTTGAGCATCAATTTAAATGATCGTATATTTTTTATCTTTCATTCTGTTGATATGATGGAACACACTGATTGATTTGCATATGTTGAGCCATCTTTGCATCTCTCAGAAAAATCCCCCCTTAGTCATAATGAATGATCTTTCTAATGTATTGCTGAGTTTGGTTTGCTAGTATTTTGTTGAGGTTTTTGCATCAATATCTATCAGAGATATTAGCCTGTAGGAATTTTTTTTTAATGTGTCTCTGTCTGGTTCCAGTATCAGGATAATACTGGTCTTATAGAATGAGTTTGGAAGTATTCCTTTCTCCTCTATTTTTTTGAATAGTTTGAGTAGGATTGGTATCAGTTTTTCTTTAAATGCTTGGTAGCAGTCAGTGATGAAGCCATCGGATCCCTGGCTTTTCCTTACTGGGGGACTTTTTATTATGGCTTCAATCTCATTACTTGTTATTGGTCTGTTCAGGTTTTAGATTTCTTCCTGGTTCAGTCTTGGTAGGTAGGTTGTATGTGTCTAGGAATTTGTTCATTTCTTCTAAGTTCTCCAATTTATTGGCATGTAGTTGCTCATAGTAGCCACTAACGATCCTTTGAATTTCTGAAGTATAACTTGTAATGTTTCCTTTTTCATTTCTGATTGTATTTATTTGTATCTTCTCTCTTTTTCTGTTAGTCTGCCTAAAGGTTTTTCAATTTTAGACTTTTTATTTCATTGACCTTTTGTATTTTTTTTCCTACATTTCAATTTCTTTCATTTCTGCTCTGATTTTTATTATTTCTTCTACTAATTTTTGGTTTGGTTTGCTTATGCTTTTCTAGTTCTTTAAGATGCTTTGTTAGATTGTTTATTTGAAGTTTTTCTTCTTTTTTGATGTAGGCACTTAGAGCTATAAACTTCCCTCTTAGTATTGCTTTTACTGTATCCCATAGGTTTTGGTATGTTGTATTTCCATTATCATTTGTTTCAAGAAACTTTTCAATTTTCTTCTTAATTTCTTTATTGACTTACTGGTAATTCAGGAGCATCTTGTTTAATTTCCATGTGTTTGTATAGTTTCCAATATTCTTGTTATTGATTTCTAGTTTTATTCCATTATGGTCAGAGAAGATGCTTGATATTATTTCCATTTTTTAAAATGTTTTAAGACTCATTTTGTGATATAACGTGTGGTCTATCCTTGAGAATGATCCATGTGCTGAGGAAAAGAATGTGTATTTTGCAGCTCTTGAATGAAATGTTCTGAGAATATCTGTTAGATCCATTTGGTCTACAGTTCAGGCTAAATCCACTGTTTTTTTTCTTGATTTTATGTCTACAAGATTTTATGTTCAATGCTGAAAGTGGAGGTGTTGAAGTCTCCAACTATTACTGTATTGGGGCCTATGTCTCTCTTTAGCTTTAGTAATATTTGCTTTGTTGATCTGGGTACTCTATATTGAGTACATACATCTTTTAAATTATATCCTCCTGTTGGATTCGACCCTTTATCATTATATAGAGACCTTCTTGGTCTCTTCTTATAGTTTTAGTCTTGAAATCTATTTTGACTGATATACATATAGCTACTCCTTGTCTTTTTAAGTTTCCATTGGCATGGAATATCTTTTTCCATCATACTTTCAGTCTATGTGTGTCTTTATAGTTGAAGTGTATTTCTTGTAGGCAACAGATCAATGAGTCTTGTTTTTTCATTCATTCAGCCACTCAGTGTCTTTTGATTGGAGAGTTTAGTCTATTAAGTTCAGCATTATTATCAATAAGTTAGGACTCACCCCTACCATTTTGTTATTTGTTTCTTCATTGTTTTGTGGTCTTCTCTTTCTCCTTTCTTTACTTCCTGTTCTCCTTTAATAAAGATGTTTTTCTCTGGTGATATGATTCACTTCCTTGTGTTTCGTTGTTTGTGTATCCATTGTATGTTTTTTGGTTTGAGGTTACCATGAGGCTTGGAAATACTATCTTATGACCCGTTCTTTTAAGCTGATAAGAACAACACTGTTTGAATAAACAAGCAAAAAGAAAACTAATAAAAACTCTACACCTTACCTTTATCCCCCCACTTATTAGCTTTTTTTGTTTCTATTTATATTTTATTGTCCTGTCTGTGTCTTGAAAAGTTATTGTAGTTGTTATTTTTTATTGGTTATCATTTAGTCTTTCTATTAGAATAAGAGTAGTTTCACAGTTGCATTGTTGAAATATTCTGTTTTTCTGTGTAATTACAGTTACTAGTTGAGTTTTATAATTTCAGGTGATTATTTATTGCTCACTAATGTCCTTTTCTTTCTAATTGAAGTATTCCCCTTAGAATGTCTTGTAGGACAGTTCTGGTGTTGATGAAATCCCTCAACTTTTGTTTGTTTTGGAAAGTCTCTATTTCTACCTTATGTTTGAAAGATATTTTTGCCAGATATACTATTCTAGGATAAAATGTTCATTCATCACTTTAAATATGTCATGTCACTCTCTCCTGGCCTATAAGGTTTCCACTGAAAAGTCTGCTGCCAGACATATTGGAGCTCCATTGTGTGTTATTTGCATCTTTTCTCTTACCACTTTTAAGATCCTTTCTTTATCCTTGACCTTTGGGAGATTATTAAATGCCTTGAAGTAGCCTTCTTTGGGTTAAATATGCTTGGTATTATATAACCTTCTTGGATATTGATATCCTTTTGGAGGTTTAACAATATCTCTGTTATTATTCATTCATTCCTTTGAATGAACTTTCTATCTCTTTACCTCCTTTTTAAGGCCAATAACTCTTAGATTTGCCCTTTTGAGGCTATTTTCTAGATCCTATAGGCATACTTTATAGTTTTTATTCTTTTTTCTTTTGTCTCCTCTGACTATGTTTTCAAATAGTCTGTCTTCAAGCTCACTAATTCTGCTTGATATATTCTGCTATTAAAAGACTGATGCATTCTTCGGTATGCCAGTGGCATTTTTTTTCAGTTCCAGAATTTCTGCTTGATTCTTTTTAATCA